GGTAAATATGGCATCATCTGCATGGAGGATCTGATCCATGAGATCTATACTGTTGGAAAACGCTTCAAAGAAGCAAATAACTTCCTGTGGCCCTTCAAATTGTCCTCTCCACGCGGTGGGATGAAGAAAAAGACCACCCATTTTGTGGAAGGCGGTGATGCTGGCAATAGGGAAGACCAGATCAACAGGCTTATTAGAAGAATGAACTAAGGTGAGATGTTGCATCCCAAAAGGGGTTGTCTTAACAGGAAAAGTGATTTTTCCCAGTAAGTATTGATAGTGATTTTAAGTTAAACTTCATTCAGTACTCTGCTGGAGAAGGGGACATAGCTTAAAATTGATTTAGCTACTCCTTTGGGGGACCTTTGTGGAGGGAACGCCCCTTTGTTATGTCTGCTTGAAAGTACGAATTCAGGTGTCCTTTAAAGTGTAACTCAGTTGTTACAGCTTCATAACTGAAATGTGTTAATTATTGGCTGCGAGATTGTTTAATAGGCTTATTTTTTCCCTTTCAGGTATCTACCGTGGTGTTTTTATGATTTGGTCAGTTAATAAAAGTGTCTGCTTCCAAATTGAAATGTATTGGTGATTTTTTTGTTAGTCTCTCTTTACCTTTCCTTAACTATAGTAGTAAATACTGTTGTGTGAGGGAATTCAGTCAGATCGACAGTCTATTTACTTGCAAAATCAGGGTCCACTTTGTCTCCTATGAAAGTATGCCAAACACACTTAGTCTTTGTGTGCAAGCTATCATGTGAATGTCTTCCTCCTTTGCATTTCGTTTCTGTGTTCTTGTATTTTACCTATACAAGTTGATTCTATTACACATTATGGGCATTACATAGGAAGAAATGAAATTTTTTCAGAGTATCTTAACACTTTCATAGTGAAATAGGTGAGCAAAAACTTGCAAGTTTTGGATTTTGGGTTTCTTTGTTGTTTTCTGAGTCAAGGTCTTTGCTGTGTAGTTCAGGCTGGCCTCAAACTCATTGCAATCCTCCTGCCTCAGCCACCCAAGTCCTGGGATTACGGGCATGTATTCCCATGCTCTTTGACTAAGTGTAAAGTGTATCCTGAAATAACAATAAAAGTAAAAAATTGCTAGTTATACAAGATGATTAATTAACTGCTTTTGAAAAATTGAAACTTTCTATACAAATATGTCAGGAATTTCTTTGAATTCTCTATTCATGATCTTGGAAGGTATTTCCATAGTTTAGTGAATTCTAGGGAGAAATAAAAAAGATACATTATAAATCAAGTTATGCTTGTAATCTTTTGTAGAAATTTATTAGTGTACCGTTTCAATATTATGCTCTCTAGGTGGAGCCAAAGAGTTTAGGGTTTGAAACTTGGTTTTTTACTGTTGTAAACAGTGCATCTCCAGACTTTGTTCCCAGTGTTCTGGGGGTGGGCGTGTCTGAAGGTGTTGGAGCCTGGGCATCAAAGGCCAGATTTCAGATGAACAGGGGTCATCGGTGACCTTGGCAGGGTCAGTATCAAGAATAGCTGGGGAAGCTGGGCGCGGTGGCGCATGCCTGTGACCGCAGCACTTGGGAGGCTGAGAAAGGAGGATTGCTGTGCATTGAGGCCAGCCTGGATTAGACAGTAAAACCCTGTTTCAAAAAAACAGAATGGTTTGGGGACTAGTTACACAGATGGCACATTGCTGTCGCTGTGGGTGGTGAGTGGGTTAAATGCGGGTCCTCACTGGGCTGGAAGTAACAAGCCAAGCGCTGTGCTGCAGGGTGGAGGTGCCTATCAAGGTCTTTTGTTCTGTTTTTTTAAAGGCCAGTTGGATTCGCAGCAAAATTGAGCAGTAGGGCTTAAGCATACTTTGATCTCCACAACCTCCTCCACCGTCAGCTCCCTGTCCGTGTTCTTTGTTACAGTCGGTGAACTTACACTGACCAATGGTCACACAAAGTAGTAAGGCTTGTGCTGTGCTGGCTGCAGGGGAGTGGCCGCCTGGGGTGCAGGGGTGGAAGGTGTGGCCTCTAGTTGGGTTCTGTCTGCAGTTGGGGTTTTCAGCTCTTTTCCATTAATCACTTTCTGAGTAGGGTCAGAACCAGAGGGTTAGGGACAAGAGCATAGGGTGGCAGTTTCACCACATGTGTATTCCCATGTCCATCCTTTAATAGTCCAGCTTTTTCCTGGGTCTTCCCCTAGCTCTCCTGCCTTTGTTACAGCTCTCTGGCACAGTGGTTGAAATGGTTTCTCTTTTTTTTTTTTTTTTTTTTTTTTTTGTCTTTCTGAGGTAGGGTCTTGCTGTGCAGTTCAGGCTGGCCTTGAGCTCACTTCTTAGTCCAGGCTGGTCTCACAACAATCCTCCTGCCTCAGCTTCCCGGTGCTGGGATTATAGGCACAGACTACCACATCTGGCTGAAATGGTTTCTTGGAAGGTTTATTTGTGATTAGCAGAGTTAACTGCTGGTTTTAGAACCAGACTGCTTGGGTTCATATTTAGCAACAGATTTGGACCAGTAAATAACAAACCCCATGCCTGGGGTTTTAGTGATGAAATATTTCGGTTATACAGAGTGCTCCTTGGTATTCGTTGTGTAACTTGCATTTGCAGTGGTTAAGATGGAAAGTCGGCTTGTGCGTCTGATGGGTGGGACAGCACAGATGTGCGGTCAGTGCCTGGGGATACACGGATGGGGTGGAGGCTCTTGGCGTGGGGTGCACTTCCCCTGGGAAGATAGAGTTCTTTGTGCTGTTTTCTTGATGGTTTTAATTGTTAAAGCAGCCAAAACATTGTTTGTTCTCTTCTTTTAGGTAGTGAGGTTTTTAAGGCTAGACCTTTGAAGATCCTAGTATCTGGCATACAGCAGGTTTTCTTAAATGATTGTATGTTTCCCATTGTAACAAGTTATTACCACAACTTTAAAATGTTTTGTGTTAATGTCTTACAGCTTTTTTTTGGTCTTTTTGAGACAGGGTCTCGGTAAGCAGTGCAGGCTGGCCTTGAGCTCACTTTGTAGCCCAGGCTGGTCTCGAACTCACAACGATCCTCCTGCCTCAGCCTCCCAAGTGCTGGGATTACAGGTGTGCTCCACCACACCCAGCTTTTCGGAGGCAGGACCCTTTTTCCTTCTGAAGTCTACAGAGAATGTTCCCTTTCATCTTCAAAATGGAAATTCTGCTTCCATCCTGACGTCTTTTTCTGATTTTCCCGCCTCTGCCCTCTTAGGAGAACTTTTATGGTGACGTTGGGCTGTCACAATTGTCCGGGATAGTCTCCTGGATTGTACGGTCCACAAAATCCCTTTTTGTTGCCCCATGAAAGTTAACAGCATGTGCACAGATTCCAGGAGTTAGGGATTGGAGACCTCTGGGCCGTTTTTTTACTTATTTCTGGCTGCCCAGCCATTCCTCAAAACTAAAGCTTTATGTGATCCTCTTTTTTCATAGCATGTCTTAAAATCTCAACTTCTTTTCTGTTACTCTGCCTAATGTAAGGCTTGATTCTTAACCTCTTTGGTCTGCCACTTAGAGCTGTATTACTACCCCCTCAGGGCAGTAGCCATTTAAAATTTTGAGTCTGGGTGGGTGGTGCATGCATGTAATCCCAGCACTTGTAAGGCTGAGGCAGGAAGATTGCCATGTGTTTGTACTACATAGTTGAAGGCCTGAACTACATACTGAGACCCTGTCTTGAATAAAAGTTCAATTCTCTAGTTGCTGCTACATTGAAGTTGCTGGGTATTGGTGAGGGACAGTGGTGGCAAGGAGTGGCACCTGAAATTGGGTTTATGGAAATTACATCACTTTAGAAATTGTGGCGAGACAATGCTATATAGTAATAGAGCATGTTAGGGGACCACGGTTTGTGCTGTGTAGACTGGAAAATTTCACAAAGGTAGAATTTAGGTACCTGAGGGTCCTTTGAGAAAAGGTGGAGTGGTAAGCAGGGGTGTAATAGCCAAGGGGATTATTCTGAGGTGCTGGGAAATGAGCCTACATCCCAGCTTTTTTGAGTTTTTGAGGCGGTGACCGAAAGTCAGCTTGTGATCATCCCAGCTCAGCCTCCCCAGTGGCTGGGATTACAGGCCGGTGCCAGTGCACCTGCCCTGAAGGTAGTTTCCCCAGTGGGAGGTGAGGGATGGGGCGTACAAGCCAGGCAAGTGCCCCACCGTTGTGCTGTATCCCCGGCGCGTGGTCACTTTTTTGGTACTGGGAATCGCACTCGGGACCTTGCGCCTGCCGGGCGGGCGCTGTGCCGATGAGCTGTCCCCGGCTCACTGATCACGGACTGAGACAGCCCAGCCTACTGCTTAGCACGGTCCTGCGTGGGTGTTCTTCCGCTTCGCAGCCGTGCGTGGGTCTCCTTTTCTCCTGGATTCTGCACGTGGGGTGGGTGATGAACGCGTGGCCTGGTCGGGTTGGTAAGTGCACCCTTGCGTCCGCACGCGGGCCTAACTCCTGCACCCGCTGTCACAGCCGAGTGGCGGGCCGGCGTTCTGCCCAGGGCCGGCTGTGGCGCGGGCCGCTCAGGGTCCTACCAGGGTGTGTGGAGCGCAGGCAGTGTCTCGGGGACGCGACACCGGGAGCCGGGGTCCGCTTGCAGCCGGCGGGCCGTGTTAAACCGCCGAAGCAGCGTAGCGTGGCGACTCGGCGACACAGTGCGG